CCCCCTCCAGCCTCGCCTCCTGCTTCATCCCCACCCCCGGGTCCCTAGAGCTGCCAGGGGTCCCAGCAGCTGCCTTCTCTGATGTCCTCAACTTCATCTACAGTGCCCGGCTGGCACTACCTGGCGGCGGAGGGGATGGGGCAGCTGTGGCAGAGATTGGAGCTCTGGGGCGGCGTCTGGGCATCTCCCGCCTGCAGGGCCTTGGGGAGGGAGGTGATGCTTGGATACCTCCTGCCCCAGCCCCCATGGCCACCTCACAGCCTGAAGAGGACAGCTTCGGGCCTGGGACTAGGCCAGCCAGGGAGTGGGAGGGTGACAGGGCTGAGGCTCAGGCCCCTGACTCACAGCCCCTGCTGCCCCGGCGGCCCCTCCCCTGCCCCCGCTGTGGGAAAAGCTTCATCCATCCCAAGCGGCTGCAGACCCATGAGGCACAGTGCCGTAGGGGGGCTGGCACTCGGGGGTCTGCAGTGGTGGGAACTGGGGGCTCTGGCCCCAGTGGCCCTGCAGGAGTCGATGCCTCAGCCCTGCCCCCACCGGTGGGCTTCCGAGGTGGCCCTGAGCATGTGGTGAAGGTGGTGGGTGGCCACGTGCTCTACGTGTGCGCAGCCTGTGAGCGTTCCTACGTGACCTTGTCCAGCCTGAAGCGGCACAGCAATGTCCACTCGTGGCGGAGGAAGTACCCCTGCCGCTACTGTGAGAAGGTGTTCGCCCTGGCTGAGTACCGTACCAAGCATGAGGTGTGGCACACCGGGGAGCGCAGGTGAGTGGCCTGGGGGGCCCAGGGTCAGGGGTGGGTGGAGTGGAAGGGTCACATGGGACCTTGTCCACTCAGGGACCACATGGACAAGAGTGAGGGCCTAGAAAGGCATCTTAGAGATGCCCACTCACCTGCTTTCCATCACTCACCCATCTGCCTCCCTCCAGCCCTGTTTCCTTCTGCTGCTGTTTATTAGCACCCCTGGGTGCCATGTCCCAGCTTGATGCTGTGGAAAAGGCCAAGGAGGAAAGAGAAAGTTGCCTCACAGAACAGGACTTTGGGGAACACAGGCATGTCCACTAACAGTTATAATACATATTTCCACAATGTACCCCTGTTCATAAAATATTTCCCTATTTTGTCATTTGAACTTCAGAAGAGTTAGGCAAGGTATGTGATCATTCCCAGTTCAGATGGAACAGCTGAGGCCTGGCAGCTGACAGCCAGTGAGGGGCACTGAACTGGGACTGGTGTCCCTTCCAAGGCTGACGGGGGAGACAAGCAGCCTGGAAGGAGCATGAGCAAATGGCTAGGGCAGTTCGAAGTCCGAGTGGAGGCAGGAGAGGATGTGGGAAGCTGAGGCCCTGGCTTCAGAACTCCTGACTCAAGTGGCTCTGTCCCTGCCCTGTTCTCTGCTGTCCTGGCCCAGGTACCAGTGCATCTTCTGCTGGGAGACCTTTGTCACTTATTATAACCTGAAGACCCACCAGCGAGCCTTCCATGGCATCAGCCCGGGCCTCCTAGCCAGTGAGAAGACGCCCAATGGAGGCTATAAGCCCAAGCTCAACACCCTCAAGCTGTACCGCCTGCTCCCCATGCGGGCAGCCAAGCGGCCCTACAAGACCTATAGCCAGGGAGCCCCCGAGGCCCCCCTTTCTCCAAGCCTCAACACCCCAGCCCCTGCAGCAATGCCGGCCAGCCCACCATCCGGACCCCCACCTGCCCCAGAACCTGGCCCCCCACCTTCTGTCATCACTTTTGCCCACCCGGCTCCCTCTGTCATTGTCCACGGGGGCAGCAGCAGCGCTGGGGCGGGGAGTGGGCCGGCCAGCACAGGGGGTGCCCAAGCCGCCTCAGTCATCACTTACACTGCTCCCCCGAGGCCCCCCAAAAAACGTGAGTACCCACCTCCTCCCCCAGAGCCTGCAGCCACACTGACCAGCCCAGCCACAGCCGGCAGCCCAGCAACGGCCGCAGGGCCCGCCACAGCTGCAGAGGAGGCCAAGGGCCGGAACCCACGGGCCGCGAGGACTCTGACTTACACGGCCAAGCCAGCTGGCGGGATTGGTGGGGGTGGGGGTCCCCCTGCAGGGCCTGGCCGGGGCCCCTCCCAGCTACAGGCTCCACCTCCACTGTGTCAGATCACTGTGCGAATCGGTGAGGAGGCCATTGTAAAGCGCCGCATCTCAGAAACTGACCTACGTCCTGGGGAGCTAAGTGGAGAGGAGATGGAGGAGAGCGAGGAGGATGATGAGGAGGAGGACGAGGATGAAGAGGAGGACGAGGAGGAGGATGAGGAGGAGGAGTCGAAGGCCGGTGGGGAGGACCAGCTCTGGAGGCCCTACTACTCCTACAAGCCCAAGCGCAAGGCCGGAGCTGCAGGCCCGGGCAGCAGTGGGGGCAGCGGGATGCCCAGAGGCCGCCGGCCACCTCGCTGGAAACAGAAGCTGGAGCGAAGGAGCTGGGAGGAGACTCCGGCGGCCGAGGGCCCCGCAGGGCATGCCCGTGGCGAGTGGAGGCACCGCTGCGGGGACTGTGCCCAGACATTCACCACCCTGAGGAAGCTGCGGAAGCACCAGGAGGCCCATAGCGGGGGCTCCCACAACTCCCGGGCTGGACGTAAGCCTTCCACCCGCTTCACCTGCCCTCACTGCGCCAAGGTGTGCAAGACGGCAGCAGCCCTGAGCCGCCATGGGCAGAGGCACGCAGCCGAGCGGCCCGGGGGCACCCCCACACCTGTCATTGCCTACTCCAAGGGCAGCGCTGGCACCAGACCTGGGGATGTCAAGGAGGAGGCCCCCCAAGAGATGCAAGTCTCTTCATCCAGCGGGGAGGCAGGTGGCGGGAGCGCTGCTGCTGAGGAAGCTTCCGAGACCGCCTCACTCCAGGACCCTGTCATCTCAGGGGGTGAGGAGCCCTCAGTGGTGGCAGGAGGGGGCACCTATGCTTACCCACCTGTTCAGGAATTTCCCCTGGCTCTGATTGGGAGCGGCCGGGAATCTGGCAGTGGCAGGGGAAAACCTGGGAGTGAGGGGCCACTAGGGGCTGGGGAGGGGGACCGGCTGGAGGGGATGGGGGCTGCCAAAGTCACCTTCTACCCTGAGCCCTACCCACTCGTCTATGGCCCCCAGCTCCTTGCCGCCTACCCTTACAACTTCAGCAACTTGGCCGCTCTCCCAGTTGCTCTTAACATGGTCCTACCTGATGAGAAGGGTGGGGGGGCCCTTCCCTTCCTACCAGGGGTCTTTGGCTACGCAGTCAATCCTCAAGCAGCACCCCCTACCCCCCCAACTCCACCCCCTCCAACTCTTCCTCCACCAGTGCCCCCTAAGGGAGAAGGGGAAAGGGCAGGGGTTGAAAGAACCCAGAAGGGAGATGTGGGTTGAGCTCTGGGTCCAGATTCCCCCTTTCACCAGATGCCACCCTCCCTGAACCCCCGCCACTACCAGCTCCTTGGCCTCCTTGCCCCTTGGGAGCCCCTCCACATGCTTGTGCAGGGACTTGGGGGCCTCTGGAGCTCAGGGGTCAGGCTGCTTTGTGTGAGATTGTAGTTTTCCCATCTCCTGGGAAGGGATCTTTGGTGGTTCCCCTCTCAGTTCTCCTCCAGGGAATGGCTTCCATGACAGGCAGGGCCAGCTCCCATCCCTTCTCCAGCCCTTGGGGCAACTGAGCAATATACTTATATGAATCTCTACTCACGGCTCCCACCAGCTCTGAATGTCTAACCCGCCCCCCTGATTCGTAAACCTAGGGGGAAACCATCTCTCTCACCTAACGATCCCCCCTCATTCTGATGCTTTCTCTAAGCCCTTGCCCAGATGCTTCCTAGCACATTCCATTCTTTGTGGCCCAGGGCCTGGACCAGACCATTGTGATACCTGACAGCCCCCTACCTGGGAGTGTGGCTCTGGACTCCATTCTTCCCAAGGCTGGGTTTCTGTGTCCCTGTTTCCTTCACATGAAGATGCCATGCCTTTCTTGGCTTCCATGCCTTTGGATCTTCCATATTGCTCCTTATACTCCTAGACTCTGGGGATGGCCTCTCCCAATCCAGGTCAAGGAGGTGCTGGGGGCAGGGTTACCTGTCTGTTCCATGGCTGAGTACTTTCTCAGCCCAGGGCAGCACCAATCTCAGCCCTACCTTGGCCCCCAAATCTAGTGAGCCCCAGACTCTTCCAAGGCAAAAGAGTTGAGTAGACTGCACCTCTTCTTGCCTCTACATATGGCCTCTTCTGGGCTAAACCAGATTTGGGGGCCAGGAGGGAGGAGCTCTATATGGGATGGGGAAGGGAATCTACTTTCTCCCTGTTTTTTCCCGATGGTTTCTCCCAGACTAGACCAAATAGCCAGAAAAATGATGGGGGTTGGATGGGTGGGTAAGCCCAAGATTTGCACATGACCTCCCATCCTTACCTTCACCCCCATCTTCCCCAGGATCATTTCCCTCACCAGTCACTCCAGATGGTTTTTTGGGGAACCATCCTACCCCCTTGGTGGGTTTTGGGGTATCCCCACCAACTTTCCCTGCAAAATAGCACCTTATACCCCATCTTTGACTCAGTTCCCCACACCCAAAGATCCCAGCCTAGGGATGGGGTACAGGGACCTTATACGTCCCTAATCCCTAATTTGCACTAGTTAACCCTGGTCAGGGGTCCCTATGTTTCCTTCCAGTGGGGGAGTTGAAGAAATGTTTGCTCCTAATTCCCTTTGATAACTGGGCCTCCCCACTCTGTGACTGAATGAACATTTCCCATCCATCCACCTCTCCCCAGGAAAAAACAGCCCACACGGGGAGAGCCAGTTTAGGGGAGCAAATGTGATAAATGGGAATTAGAGGAGTGCAGTTTAAAAAGGGGAAAAGCTGTTGTCATCAAAATGGCAGCCTTTTTCCCAGCTACTGTTTTCTGGGGCCAAGATGGCTGCCCTCTCAACAGATGCTCAAAGGGCAAGATCATGGCTTTTGGAGGGAGGTGGTTTTGGCGGAGGGACAGGAGCATCCTGCCTTGTCTCACCCTCCCAGCATATGGAAAGGGGAGGTTTCGACAGGCTCCCTGAATGTTAACCACGGAGGAGTGGCGCTCCTTCACTCCTCCTCTGTCTCTTTGCACTTTTCTTGGTCTTGGCCACAATCCGAGTGAAGAGTTTCCTACTGAATGTACCAAGTTCCAATTTTTAAGGGGAAGAAAAGTTTAAAACATGGGAAAATGCAAAAAAAAATCACTAAAAAATTCCCACAAATCTTGTTTCTGGCACTTTAGAAAAACTGCGGGGAAAAAAAGTACATAATAAAGAATACATATATATATCTACACACAAATTATATATATATTTACACAGCGGAACCACAAGAGAGACTGAGGAAGGCCTTGGAGGCAGGGGGCAGGTGTGATGACAGTCCCCCTATATCCTTAACCTGCACTCCTATGAGGCAGAAAGGCACAGGAAACAGAAGGGGTTGAGGATAGACCAGGGAATTTGAATTTCATAACAGGTCAAAATTCTGAAACCATGGACATTTTGGGAGAACTGAGATTGTAGACATTTATTTTTTTGAAAATATGATTTAGGAAAATAGTTTCCAGAATTTGGTGGTTCTGGGCAACAAAGGAGATTGTGGCGAAAAGGAGATTAAAATATATGTATCTGAGCTGGGGAACTTGAATATTGTGAATTTCAGGTGTTGGAAATTTGGGATTTGGCAATTTCATCTTTTGAAAATGATCAAGTCTTGTCAGTCTGTGCCCTCTTTCCCCATGTTCCCTGGGAAGAAGGGTGACGGTGGAGTGGGAAGGCCACTGGTTCTGTGCCACAGCACGCAAGATTTAGAATTCTACAGACTCTAGCTCTATACGTAGTGAGGACCCAGATTTAGAGAAACTGACCAATATTTATCTCCGCATTTGTGTGTGTGTCCAACTCTCTAGGCCAATAAACCAACAAGACAAACAAACTGTGCTCCGCAGTGGGATGCCAGGTGCAATTATTGGTGTGGCTGGTGGGTCTGGCTGGACAGGGACACACTAACCTTGTCCCACAGGGGTCCCTGTGAGTTGTAGCCCTATTCTCCCTCTTAGGACAACTTCCAGCAGTTGAGTAGGTGTGAGAGCCTGCTGACCCTAGGTACTTCACTGTAATTGCTACAGCCACTAGGCTCAAGCTGACTTTGCTCTGACCTCCAGGCAGAAACATTAACTCAGTCCAGTTCACACAGCCTGCTGGGCACAAGATCTTCACGTCCCAGAAAGGCCCTGCCTTCAAACAGGTGCAGCCCTTTCTCTAAACTGAAAGGAAACTGAGGCACAAAATGTGTGATGGCCATAAGAGACACCAACACCCTTTCTTGTTCCACTCCTAGCCTCCCAGCGGCTTCAATTCCTTGTCCCCCCTCCTCCCCTCCCATGTATTTTGTCCAGTGTTATACAAGGATGGGCAAGTAAACTAAGTGAAGCAGATCAGGTGGGTGGGGGCTTTGAGGAGCTCTGGTACAAATACCTTGACCAGAGTGGGCAGCTATTAACCAGCTCCAGCAGGTTGCTGCCAATAGGGGAGCAGACCTAGTGTCACTGCAGTTCATTAAATTTTTCAAGAGAAGTGAGAAATTCAAATTTCTCTGTGAAATATCCACATTTTAAAAGTAGTAAACGGTTCAGATTTTAAGTTTTGCTTCCCAAAAATATGGGCGAAGCAAAACACACCAGTTTGCAACTCCTGGTATATATTGTATAATGCTTTTCTTCCCATCTTCTCATATGATCCTCAGACTAGCTTCATTTTACAGATGGGGAAACTGAGGCACAGAACAGTTTAGTAGCTTGTCCAAGTTCTGAGCAGCTTGTCCAAGTTGGAGCAAAGTTCCAACTTGAGTGGAGGTTTTTAAAGTGCACTTCTCCCCCCATTACAAATGCACCCTTTTAGAAGTAACCCTTTTTTATCCTAAAAATAATACTACAAAATACAATAAACTACAGAAAGGTAAAAGCAAAGAAAAATGACCACTAGTCCCAACATGAAAACATAAGCACTATCACTTAGTGTATTTCCTTACAGAAAAAAAAAAAATCCCTATTCATTCAACCAATGCTAAGCACCTACTTAGGTTAGGACCTGTGCTAGGTGCTTGTACAGTGAACAAGACATATTTCCTGCCCTCTTAAGGCTTACAGTCTAGTTCTTGTTCTTTGTTCCATTTCGTTGGGAACCTTAAAGTGCACTTCTCCCCCCATTACAAATGCACCCTTTTAGAAGTAACCCTTTTTTATCCTAAAAATAATACTTACTGCAAAATACAATAAACTACAGAAAGGTAAAAGCAAAGAAAAATGACCACTAGTCCCAACATGCAAACATAAGCACTATCACTTAGTGTATTTCCTTACAGAAAAAAAAAAATCCCTATTCATTCAACCAATGCTAAGCACCTACTTAGGTTAGGACCTGTGCTAGGTGCTTGTACAGTGAACAAGACATATTTCCTGCCCTCTTAAGGCTTACAGTCTAGTTCTTGTTCTTTGTTCCATTTCGTTGGGAACCTAGGTGTTACTATCCAAAGGAGCTTCTTCAAGAAGCCAAAGAGTAAATGGATAGTGCATTTCAGGTGGGTTCAAAGCCTCCATCTGCCCAATTCCACTTAGCCTTCCTCCCTAGAAATGAAATGACGAGAGGACTGGATCCCTAAGTGAAAAAGTTAAGGTGTAGAAAGGGACAAGGCTTAAGAGTACTGCCAAACTCTCAATTCAACTGGCCGAGGACTAGGGTCTCGGCCATCTGGTCCTCAAGGAAAGGGGTCGGGAGGGGGCAAGTTGTACGTGGCGTCCAGAAAGATGACAAGGGTCCCGACGCTCGTGAAGATGATGAAAGTCCACAGGAAGAGGCGGTCCACTACCATGGCCACAAATTGCCAGTCCTCCTTCAGCTGGGAGTAGGCAGAGGAAACTGTTCCTAAGCTCCAGACCCCCAGGGAAGGCCGTCCCCAAGGCCCTGTACCCTACCCTGGTCCTCCTACCACAGCTTTAAGACTAGGGTGGGTTGCAGAACAGCGGAGAGAGAAACCGCGCGCGAGGGTTGTGAATAAAGCACTACTCGGAAAGCATGGGGCGGGACCGAGAGAGGCACACTTCCAATCAGATATAAAACTAAGTGCTAGGGGCGGAGCCTGAGCTTGCGGGTGGAGCCAATGCCGCCCAGGCCCTGCACTGCTCCACCCTCTTCGACTTACCGCGTCGTGGTCTTCCTGTTCCTGCAGCTGTCGAGCGATGTAGCTGATCGAGGAAACGACCTCTCGTAGCTCGGGAGGCAGACCCACAGCCGGTTTGGACCATCGATAAATCGCCGCAGGTCCGGGGCAGACAGTTCAGGCTGGAACCTGGAAGAGGCGGGACTCTTTGGCCACGCCCCGGGCGCAAAGACACTCAGCCAGCTCCGGTGCTCTCGACCCCCGCCTCAACTCCCTCCTCCAATGTCTATCCAGTTTTCAAAACTTGACAGGGCCCTTCAGGCTCTCGCCGATGGCGGCGACCTCTCTAGCCTTCCGCAATTCCTCCTATCCCCTTACGCTTTAGTTCCCACCTCTCCGCAAACTGGGCAACAGAAGGAATACTACAACTCCCATGATGCTCAACCACGGCATCATCCGGGAGCTTACGTCGCCTGCCTCCGCACAGTCTTCAGGGAACTGTAGTTCTCCTCCCTTCTACGTAGGCGATGGGGAGTAGACACTACCTGTTGGGTTTGGGGAAGAGAAAATCATTCGGTGGCTTGCGGATGAAATATTCATCTGTTCCCCGACCCCAGCCACTTCCTGGAGACTCCCTGAGGGCTACTAGAGGCGGCTCTGGCATCTGGTCTCTCTCGGGTTTGGGCCTCTTCATACCCAGATACAGAGGAAGTTTGTGAATGAAGATCTGCAAAAGAAGAGGCGTGTTGGAGGGGGATCTCTTGCTTTCAGAGCAGAAGGGAAGCCACCAACCACCCCCACGCCATATGCCCATCCCTGCGCATGCGTGCATCCGTCCCACAGACAAGGAAATGCTCATGCAGCCCTGAGTTCTTAAGTGGGTTGGGAGGCATCCTAACTGGAAAGAAAAGTCCTGAGGGCTTCCACCCTGATATTTCCTAACCCTGAGAATGTTTCCTTGGAACGCGCAATGGGCGATATTAATGAAGAGAGTCTGAGACCTAAGCAATGATAATGATGATAAAATTAATTGTGCAACATTTCAACACCCAAGGCCTTGGCACTTCGACACTCTACCAGGAGCTGTAGTTCTCCCTCAGGTCTGTGAAAGGGAAGGTGGAAGTTGGTGGGAGGGAGGAGAGATACCTGGAAAAAAGCCAAATAGGTTGGAAGAGATCTTACCTGACGGACCCAAAGGGGCATTTGGTGGGTGTGGGGTGAGCGATGGTGAAGGTTGAGGACTACGACGCTAAGGATGACTGAGAAAGTGACGAGCACCATAGTGAACATGAGGTACTTGATAATGATGGGGACAGACAGGGAAGTCTCAGGCACTTTGTCTGCCAGCAGCAGCAGGAACACAGTAAGGGTCAGCAGGGCAAAGATCGAGAGCCCCATCTTCTCTCCTTGGGGGACAGGGGGGAAGGCAGAAGGATTAGGCTTTGCCAGAAGGCAATCTCCATGGCATAATCAGTGACTGTGTTACCAGCCCACTCAAGGACAGGTTTTTTGAAGGGCCAGCAAATGACTCCTACGTTTATACCTCCAACCTGAACTTACTCCCCTAAATTCCTGACTTGTATCCTCCTGCCTACTTAACCTCTCCATTTGAGTGTCCAATAGACATCTCATACTTAACATATCCAGAACTTAATCCCTTCACCACTGCATCCTCCCATAGTTTCCCCCATTTCATAAATGAAAACTCCATCTTTCCTGTGGCTCAGACTGAAATCCTTTGAATCATTCTCAACACTCTTCTTTTTCATCCCATACCCAGTCCATCCCAAACCTTACTGGTTCTACCTTCAAAATATATCCTGAAACCGATGACTTATCACATATACCACTACCATCCTGGTACAAACCACCATTACCTCAGATCTGAGTTACTATAAAGGCCTCCTCTTTGCTTCATCCTTTGCCCCCGCTGACTTTTCTTAACAGAGCAGCCAGATTAATCCTGTTAAAATGTAAATCAGATCACAGCACTCCTAGGGGAGGGGATAGTTCAGTGGTAGAGTGCCTACCTAACATGCACAAGGTCCTGGGTTCAATCCCCAGTACCCCCACTTAAAAAGCAAGTAATTACCTCCTCCCCTAAAAAAAAGAAAGAAAAGGCAGATCATATCAATCCTCATCTCAGAAGCTTCCAGTGGCTTCTCATCTCCTTCAGCATAAAAGCCACAGTCCTTACTATGGTCTATAAGTCATTCCCTCTAGCTCTCTGACTTCATCTCATACTCTTTTCTCTCTTGCACACGTCATTCAGTTACATTGACTATTTCTTGAATATTCAAAGCACACTCCCACCACAGAGCCTTTGCATTCACTGTTAATTAACTCTTGGTAATTTCTTCTCCCAGATATCTGTCAAGGTCATTCTCTCACTTCCTTCCAGTCTTTTTCAAATATTGATTAAATATCCCCTTTTTAGTGAGGCATTTACTGACCATCTTATTTTAAACTGCAACTCCTACCCCCATTCTTGTTTTCCCTTTTCCTTCTTCATTTTCCTCTTCTGTATACCATCTAATGGATTTATTTATTATGTTTATTGACTATCTATCTCTCCCACTAGAATGTAAACTCCTAAGAGTAGGGATTTTTGTCTCTTTAATTCACTGATGTATTCCCAGCGCTTTGCACATTACAAATGCTCAACAAATATGGTTGCATGAATGAATGGACCAACCCCTGTAGCAGGAATTATATCACAATTTGAAGCATCAAAAATGAAACAATATATAAAAATATGTCAAGTGACTGGTTATTCCTATGGGATACAACAGGCACTGCAAACTTCATGGAAGGTATTGAAATAAATTACTTTCATGGCCTGTTCTACTTTAGTCCTATAATATTGGGTTCCAAGATTTTCCTTGCTCCAGGAGGAAGAAGTTACATGTGGAAGTGTGTTCTAGAAATGCATCACTCTGTTTCCCTAGACAGAGAAAGAACTTGATTCCAGACTGAAAGAAAGCACGTTTTGAACACCAGAGTTCAGGATATTGGTCTTTGAATCAGCCTGGTACTAACCAGGGCTGAAATAGCAACACTGTCTCTCTCTAACTGGGTAATGTAATGACTTACACTCTCGTAGCCTCTTTACCTTCCTCTGTAAAATGGAAAGACAATTCAGTACCTACCTTACACAGTTGTTGTGAATATTAGAATTGAGTTAATATATTTAACATGTTATTTGTATTATCTTATAGCAAGTGCTCAAAATTAGCAAAGACAATACCTACACTTATACAGAACTTACGGGGTACCAGGCATAGTTCTATTAACTCAGTTAATCTTCAGAATAATCCTTTATGGTAGGGACAATGACTGGCCTATTTCCAGATCAGGAAACTAAGACACATAGAGATTAAGAAATTTACCCAAGGTTACTCTGTTACCATGTTATGCTGTCTCCCAGAGAAATGTTGTCTATTATTTTGAAGGGAGATAGCAGGCTAAGGGAGTAGTAGGTGTCTGACAAGTTGGGGAGAGAAGATGCCAGGAATGGGGAAAGGGAAAGGAAGAGTTGTCTAAGCCTGGGACTTTGTTGATCAGAGGAGTGGAGGTTCCAAGGATGAGATCATAGGATTCTGAAGGGAAGAGTTTAGAAGTTATTGGGTGTAGAAAAGTCAGCAGCAGATGAGGGTCAGAGCCTGAGATTGGAGGGAAAACCTGGATCCAGATGCAAAGGCTCTGCTTGAAAGGATAATCTGGGTGAGACTGCTGAAGCACAATCCATGATGGCTTGAGTTGGCAGGAAAACCTTGCCTGAAGAGGGAGAAGCTGAGCTATTTGTAAGAAGGGCTGCTGGGACTCCTTTCCCCCTTACCTGCATCTGGTGGCAGGTAGAAGACGAAGATGGCCAGGAGAGTGATGAGGATGCACGGAGCAATGACGTTGACCAGGTAGAAGAGAGGCTTCCGGCGAATGATGAGGTAGAAGGCAACCTGTTCATGCCGTCCTTCCCTCCCTCCCCTAGGATCCACTGGAGGCTGGATTAGCCGAGAAGGCTTGTGGATAATCTCCCACTGGCCATTCTCTTGGAGAGGGAGGGAAGGGAAGAAGAGCGGAAGAAGGGGACACAGATGTGGGACCTGTCTTTGTTGGTACCAGACATGGCTTTCTCTGCTACATCCTAAAGCAGAGGGGCCTGATGTAATAAGGGGCCAGCTATGGACACTGAGCTGGGCAGCCCAGCTCTAATAAACTTGAACAAGTCTCAATTTCCATATCCACAAAATATAGTCATATCTATCTTGCCGAACCCACAGGGACTCGCTGATGGAGTATATTTTTCAGCCTGTTAGAAACTGGAAATCATAAAGCCAATGGACGTGGGAGCCATGCTCACTCACCAATGAAAGTCCCTTCATGAATGTGCACTTCCTGCTGCTCCTGCCCATCGGGACCCAAGCCAGTCTGCAGGCTGACCTCTGAGCTGTCATAGCTATAGGAACTGAACACCATGGTGCAGTTCTGCCAGTCAAAGGGGAAGTAGGTGACCTGAATGGAGCAGGGAGTCACTAGAGCTGCCAGAGAACTGATCGGGGTTGAGGGAGTTGGAGAGGTCACAGGGTAGTTAGGGATCAGAGGATATGGGGCACCAGGAAGATAGGGGCCACCAGGGAAGATCACAGAGAAGTAGGGTCACAGAGGAAATGGAAGGTAATCTGGGGAGGCCATGGACAAAGTGGGGAGGGGTCACTAAGGAAGACTGGAAGTCAATGAAAATGGACAAAGAAGATGAAACAACGGAATGTAAGGGGGCAAGAGAGGTGAGGGTCCATGGGGGATAATGGAGGAGAAGATGGGGGACTATGGGGAGTCAGCGTATCTGAGGAGAGGGAGGGTTTCTACAAGCGCCTGAGCTTCCCAGGAGGAGCCGGGAGACCTGGATACTGCAGCTGCTGCGATAGATGCCTGGGGGCTGCCAGCGCACGGAGCCGTCGGAGGACACCACGACGTTGATGTCCAGAGCAACATCAAAATTTCCGTCATTGCTGCAGAGAAAGAATCTTCTCACTTTGGATCAGGCCCCGGCCCCGGTGCCCTGCCTCTCCAGAGGCGCTGCCCCACCTTCCAGATTTTGGGAACATCCTACTTGTTTAGGAGCACCACATCTGGTAGCCACACCGATTGGGCCGTGATGCGTAGTGAATCGATGCCCTCGTGCTCCGCAGGGTCCCAGCTCAGCCTGTAGTCAGTCCACTCCTAGGAAAGTAGAGGCTGAGGGGCTGTCTGGGGCTGGAGGTTAGGAGACTTGGGGTGCAAAGGAAGCCCGTGCAGGGAGTGCAAGGGAGGGGAGGATCTTAGGCATGGGCTGTGTTTCTGGAGGCTGGGGCTCTGATTTCGGCTCCACCTGCACTCTTTGGGACCTCATCAGCTAATTTCCCCTTCTCTCGCACCGGGCCCCAGCTTTGCATTCTCTGAAAATGAAAGGGTTGTACTAGCTAGCATCTAAAATGGAGATTTTCAAACTGCAGCTAGCGACGCTTTAATAGGTCAGGAGTCAAACAAGTGGCCCCAAACCAGTGTTAAAACAAACAAAAAATACAATGAAAAATGCATGGAGTGTAACTCCCATAGTAAAGATAAGTATTGTTTCCTGAAGCTTCTGTTTCAGTTATAAATGTGTTTTCTGAGATCGTGATGCAAGAAGTATTCTAACTGGGCTGGACATTTGAGGAAATTGTAAAGGTAGTGGGATGCCCTTTCCCATCCCTCTGGATCTCCTTACCAGGTCTAAGTAGACCTTTGTGGTCATCTCCTCATCCTTCTCGTTCTAGAAGAGAAAAGTTTAAAGGGCAGATATGATGTGAATGTATAGAAATAAGGGGGCTCTGTGGGTCAAGCTCTCTCTGGAACCTCCCCTCTTCTTCTGAGCCGCACCCTTTTAAGTCCAAGCCCCGCTTCTTAAAACTGCTTTAGTTTATGCCCTATCTCTATCTCGAGAACTTCCTGCGGTACCTACTGCTCGCCAATTCATATACCTGCCCCGAATCTCCGCCCTCCGCCCATTAACCCCGTCCCGCACCAAGCTCCGCCCCAGGCTGTGACCCCGCCTCAAGGTCCGCCCTCCGGCCAGTCCATTGGCCCCAACTTCACTTCAAGATCCGCCCACAGGCTCGTTCATCATCTTGCCCGGCTCTACCCTGGCCCGTCCAGCAGCCACGCCCACAGCTTGTCCATTGGTCCGATTTCGACCCAATCGCTGCTAACGACCAGTCTATCTCCAGCCTGGCCTCGCCCCAGGCCCCCTCCTCAGTCGTTCCTGGGTCCCGCCCTGCCTAAAGCCACGCCCCCTAGCCGGCTAGTGAGCTAGACCTCAACTGTCCGTGTACGCGCTCACCAGGCTGGTAAGTTGCGCCAGGCTAAGACCAATGCTGACACCGACGCGGTCTCCCACCTCCCGCGCCGGCCGTACCGAACTATCGTAGCCCGAGAACAGTTTCTCGCGAAGTCGGCCCTCTGCCTCCGAGCCTTGGGCGCCTGGAGGAGGAAAGAACTAAGTGAAGCCATGGTGCGCAGCCACGACCTCTGGCCCTGTCACTGCCCCTTTGAGGCCTAGACTTACCTGGGGCGTGTGGAGCCCCCAGGGCCCCCAGCAGCAGCAGCAGCGCCCCTGGGAACATAGCCCGCCCGCGTCGCTCCGTGAGCTCTCTGGGTGAGCCGCCGGGACAGCCAGCGCAGGGGAAGTGACGAGGCGCCCAGGAATGTGCACCTGTTGTCGGGGGGCAGCCGCCAGCCCACCCGCCCCGCCCCTGGGACTTTATCCCCGCCCCGAGCAATTGCCAATGCCTGCCTCCCACAGATGACAGACAACACTTCAGTTGTATAAATCTTCTTTAATTTCAGAAAGCATGGAGTGGAGACCCGGTCCCCTGGGAGCAGAGCCAGGAGATGGGTGGAGCCTGAGCGGTGTCTGTGTGGGTGAGGGGAGCATCCATCCCGCTTGCAACAAGCCAGAAGTAGAAAGAGCCTGAGGAAAAGTGACCTGCCTGAGATCTATCCCCTCCCTTTTGGGCCTCCTCAGTCTACTCAGCTCAGATCTGGGACCTCTCAGAATCTCCTTCCTAGTTCACTGATGGGCTCCTGATCTTTTTCAGGCCTGTCCCTGCTATCTGCATTTTTTCAGAAGAATCTAGTCAGGCCCTTTTTGGGTACCTAAAACCCAGCTGAGGTTATAAGCCGTAAGGTAAAGCAAATTCTATTCAGTTAGAAGTTCTGGGGGTGGTGGTGTATGAGGTCTAGAGCCCAAATGGCCCTCACCCTACTTGGCCTGACCTGTAGGGGAGATAGGTGGGACTTATGCTGAATTGGGCTCTCCTCATGGTGGGGGGTCAAGGTTATGTGCCATTTATATTTTTTATTCTAGACCCATTACCCTAAACACCTCAGATTTAAAGGGGACTAGGAATTCCTGCTGAGGTAGCTAAATGTTCATGTCCCCCCAGCTCAGGCACAGGTCCAATCATGCCATGGTTCTGGCCCCTTCTCTATCCAAGCTTTCCTGCTATGAGCCAGGGATTCCTTCCAAAACTCCTCTGCCCTTCCTCAGACTCTTTCCCTGGCAGGACCACAGCTAAGTTGCAGGAGGTACAAACTATATGTAAAGATAAAGTTAGCATTCTGTAGGAAGAAAGAGATTTTTAGAAAATTATCTAGGAAAAACAAGATGTGGTTCTCGATTCATCCAGCACTTAATTCTTTGTGAATCACAGCTGAGTCCTTTCCAGAGCTCATCCTTAAAAGGTTATCACTAGAGAAGGTGGGAGGATGGGTCTAGAACTTACTCTAGAACAATAATATGGCTATATAGGTCCCAGTTCCATCCTAGAGGGAAGGGCTGACAGTTGTGGTCTATGTCCTAGAGCTGAGATCTGGAAGGAAGTATGGCTCCATATGTGTCTAGAACACCATGCTCTAGAATTGGATGTCTCTGGGATAAGAAAGTTAAACCTGTGGTAATCTGAGACTGGTCCCAGTTCAGGCCAAGGCCAACAGCTGGACAGGGCTCAAATACAGCCTCTCTCTACTTGGAAGCCAGGGGTCCATCTGGGTCAAGGACAGAAGCCTGATGGATCCAGAACAGAGCCTGGCAGCATGTCTGTGTTTCAGCACAGAGCCCGAGTGCAGAAATGGCCCTAGCTGGAGTGCCTGGTGTTCCAGAATCTGTCTGGAACAAGGCAGAAGGTGGAGGAAGGAAAGAAGGAAACGAATCCTGAGCTCCAGTGGACCTATAAATCTATGGCTCAGTGGCAATGAAAACAGCATAAGACTCCAGGGGCTGGCTGAGCCCAGGGTGGGGAAGATTTATGCCCTGGTTCTGTCAGTTTCAGACCCCCAGCGTCATCTCAGGAAGAGGCTTTGGTGGGGGGGCATGAGTGTGCAAGGAAAGAAGTGATCAGCCAGGACTATTTTCAGACACTTCACCCCAGCTCTGACCCCTTCCTGGGCCCAAGGATCTAAGGGTCTCAGCAGCCCTGGGAGTCACAGCCAACCCCTAGGCTCCCTCAGGCTAGAGCACCTGGTGGGACCTGGCTGCTCAGGGCATGAGTGTGGCAGCAAGGGTGAGAGCAGGGCCAGGAGTGGGGCTGGGAGACAGACTGTGGTGGTGGCGGGCTCAGTGTAAGTGCATGGAGCCTCCAGCCAGGGGCTACATTTCAGGGGGCAGGGGGAATGGAAGGGGAGGTCTCAGGGACACTGTGGAGAGAAGGCTCCCGATACATGGCCACTGTGAAGGGGAGAGAGAGGAACAGGAAGGAGAGTTAGGCACACAGAGAGCTCTGAAAGGGCTCCCTTCCCCTATACCCCCCCCCTCTGGGAACCCTAACCCACAGAAGGAGCATTCCCCAAATCCCCAAAGCCAAAGCCTTCCTGGCTTGACTTGTCATAATAGGTATCCCCTTAAAACACCTATAGTCCCTGAGCTTGTGTCACTAGATATCCACGACAAGGTCAATACCCTTCCATGTGGCCCACCTCTCCCTGGAGGGTCCAAACTCACCCTCCAGGAGCTTGGGCACAAAGTGGGCTGCTGCCTTGGTCTTCTTGACTCGATTTCCCTTCATGACTCGGCCCTCCTTGTCCAGGCCCAGGTACCAGGCCCGGCCAGAACGGTGCTGGCGGTAGAGAGCAGAGGCATACAGGACATAGTAATTCTCAAAGACGCACTCCTTAAAGCGACACTCAGCTGTGAAATGTGGCTGAAGAGACAGACACCCAGAAAGGCACACACAGACAGAGAGACAGAGAGATAAAAAGACACATCACTGGACAGAAGGGGACCCTGAGAAGAACAAGCCAGGATACAATCCACACAATTTAGGCTGGGAGGGCCAACCTCTGAGTCCATGCAGGAACTGGGAGAAAGGGAGGATAAGGAAGAGTCTGGTGGCCCCCTGAGGGCCGGGAACTAGACTTCGGGGGGGCCCTGGGATAAGAAGACACCATCTCTCTATTTTCAACCTCCCACCATCCAGGGGACCTGGAAGGAATTCCTGCTTGGAGGAATTCCTGAATCCTTCCCCTATATCCTGAATGACTCTGGGGAGTCAATAATGAGGTCTGGAGGAGGTAGGATGAGACAAGGGAGTCTTAAAAGGCTGAAACAGTTGGACATTCAAAGAGCCAGAGGTATTTGGAGGCGCTGTTCAAGGAGGAGGGACTGGAGGGACCCTAGAGGAGGTGTCCGAGAGTGGGCAATGAAAGCAGGACATCAGAAAGAGCTGGAAGAGAGGAAGCCCTGAGCTGCAAAACATCTGTAATCAAGAAAGCTGTCACTAGGGGAGTCCCCACACCCGAGACCACTCAGCCTCCTTGTCTCACCGAGCTGTAGAGCAGCCCCTCAGCATTCATGGCCATGTAGTGACCCAGCTTGTTACTCTGGATGGTGACCACACGGAGCCCCACAGGAATCAGGTTGAAATGGGCTGGAGGTGGAGAGAGGGGGCATCAGTACCCCAGACTTCCAGCTCCCAGCTGGGCCCCCCTCCAGGTTCCAGTTCTACTTCCTCCCTTAGGGGTCAAAGAGCCAGACTGAAAACAAACGAACCCAAAGTGGGAAGAGGATGATCATCTCCTATGCCTGCTCTTCCCCTCCCCACCCAGCAGCTGGCTTCCCCTCTCACTGAAAGAGCTGGTGTCCTCTGGGGTGCCCTGGATGCTCCCGTCAGGATTTGCCTGGAGGTAGAAACCCTGGCGGCAGAACAGTTTGGTGACGATGCCTTTGAGCTGAGGCTCTGGAGAGAGAGACATTCATCTTGAAACATGACATCTCTGTTCCCAAAAACATTCGTACACTTGGCGGGATCAGAGGAGAGAAAGAAGGGAGAACCGAGGGAAGGAAGTGGGTCCCAGGGCCCCAGCTCACTGACCTTCCAAGCAAGCTCTCTCCCCCTCCTCTTGGACTCCTGAGGAAGTTGGGGTGTGGGTCCCCTTCTGCTTCCTCTAACCACCAGCTTTCAGTTTAATTTATTGAAATTTATTTAAAGGCTTAATTCCTACTCTACAGCTCAATCAGAATGGGGGAGGGGAGAAGAGAGAGGAGCAAGAGGAGAGATACATGAAAACGCAGGACAGAGGGAGGCAGGCAGGACTGCTGAAGAGGCAGTGTGTTTGCGAGTTGGGGGGCAGTAAGGTGACCACATGATAGGGGGGCCCCCTCAGGAGGGGGGGTGGGACTGGGCCTGACGCTGACTCAGCACCTGCTGCTGCGGCTGCCGCTGGCTTGGCGCGGGCCTCTCCTTGGCCCAGCGCCGGACTGACACTGACCCATCTGTCTGTCTATCTGTCTGTCAGTCTGCTGGCTCTCGGGGGCTCAGCCCTCCCTGAGGCTCAGCCTCTCCCCTTCAGCCAGGTAACCCGCCTGGGGTGTGGGACATTCAGTACCAAACCAAGGAAATGGGGGAGGGGGCCGGGGAGCTGGAGAGGCAAGCTGAATCACGTGGGGGGCCGGGTCCCACTCAAAGGGTGGGCTGCGGACCGTACCACTACCAAGTGCCGGCGGCGGTGAGGAGGAGGGCGCAGGGGGTAGGGGGCTCCCCCTAGGGGAGCTGGGAGCGAGCGGGAGCGAAGCCAGAGGGACTCCCTGCCTGTCGCACCTGGACGGGGACCACAGACTAACCCGCACAACTCTCCTCCCCCGGCTCTTGCTTCCGGCCGACTTCCCGGTACCCCCTCATAGGTGGTACGACCCCCAGTCTCAGTGCGGGTCTCCAGCCGTGTGCTGTGTCTGAGTTAGTCGCGTCAGAGGGTCCCCTGAGCCCCTGGGACCCGATTTCTGAGTCGCGTACGGGTTTATAGGGGGTGCCCAGTTCCCAGCTTGCAGCGCAGGTCACGGGAGGAGGGCGCACAGAGGGGCGGGCTGGCGAGGTAGCTGCAAGGACACCCGGGGGAGAGCTGGGGAGATTGGCGCCGAGCCAGGCCAGCTCGGCCAGGGGGAACCGAGCCAAGGCATGGAGGAGCGGGAGAACCGGGGCGGGGGCGGGGCTGCCGGAGCCGCAGAAACCCTCGGGGTGACCCAGGCGTCCGGAACCCCAGGCCCCTCCGCTCCGGATGGAAAGAATCGCGAGAGCCGGCACGTAGGCGGAGGACGGTGGGGGCGGGGACTCCTGCGTTGGGTTGGGGGGCGAGTGGGAGCTGCTAGGCTTTGGGGTACCAGGCTTAGCCCCCAAGTCTTCCCCTTGCCCTCGAAAGCAAGGAGACTCGGGGTTATGGACGAAAGAGAAGGGAAACTGAGGCACAGTCTCCCCGAGACTTTGTGGTCCGGGCCCACCCCTTTCACTTTCAGGGAGCCCCCCTCAGTTGGGCCCCACTCTTTCGAGTCCCTGGCCTCAACCTCTCAGGCAGAGAGACCCCAGGCCCGGAGACCCCGCTCCAGCCACTCACCCGGGCCGCGGTCCGGCCGCGCGGGCCGCCCCCCGCACAGTCGCACCTTGGACAGCAAGATGAGGAGCTGCTTCTGGCAAAGGGACTTGGTGCCGCGGGGACACACGCGCCGCTGCGCCGACACGGGACGGCTGCCCCCGGGCTCGCGGACCTCCCGCTTCTGCCGGATCAGGCTACTGGCCAGCGCCGCCATGGCGCCCCGGGAGGAGACACCCCCAAACAGGCAGGCGCCCGGAGCGCACTGGGCTCCCCTGGAGAAGCCCGCTTGCTCACCAGGACATGCTCTCCATGCTCCAGTCCCTACTCACTGCCCTACCCACAGGACCTGAGGATAAGCGCTAGATGACCCCCACCCCAGGCTCCAGCTCCCACCCTTGGGCCCCTGCTAGCTCCACTGGGTCCAACAGCCTATGTACCTCTCAACTGACCCCACCCACGACTTTTGCCCCCACTGAAAACTCCCCCTTTCCCTGATCTCCAGTGTCCTGGCCTCCACTTCCCGTATCCCAAAGCCAAGACCCTAAAATTTTCCAAAACGTGGTTCGAATATCCCCAGGCACCTTTCCACCCTATTTCAGGGCCCTGCACTCCTGCCAAATCCACTCTTGTAATCTTAAGGGTGCGGGTCCTTAGCTTTGGGGATATTGGTTCACTCCACCCCTACTGGGGCAATGCCAATGTCAGGGAAGAACCCAACCTTGATGTCTTTCCCTTTGCCACCCTCTAAGTGGAGAATCCCCCACTTTTTTAAAATATTGCAATCCTCAAAATCTATGACTTGAAATACCAGACTGTCCCCATTCAGTGAGAAGAGGTTCCCCGACCCTGTCTCTGGACAATACCATTTTTTACCAAGTCACCCCCATTTCTAGTGGCACAGAGTTCTAGCTGCTGAGCCCCTTTCCTCACCTTGTTACCCTCCACTCCTTTTGAAGTCACCTCCAAATCCGCCCTTCCTAGTGGTTACACCAGGTGGTTGTCTGAAGGGCCCTCTGTCACCTCGGAATAAGGGGCATAGGTTTTGGGGTTTTTTGATTTTTTGGTTTTCCTGACTGCCCCTTAATTTCCTTGGGAACAGCTGGTGCTGTTTAGATCCCAAGCCCTCCAATCCAACCAGCCCCTCGAGAGAGGAGAGCACCCACGTTGTCACGGGCCCCCAAATGTGAACAGACCCCCTGTAAATCAGAGCGCATTAGAGCTTTCTGCGACAGGGCTTCCTCGTCCTCCCCGGGACTGCCTATAGCACCCCCTTTTCCTTCCCCGACGCCCCTCAACCTGCCCTGTCTTGTCGATCCGGCGACGGCTGGCGCTGGCTCCGGCTCCAGGCTCCTCCCTCCCTGTACCCCGCAAGCGGAGCTTCCCCCCACGCCTGGCTAGGCGTCCCGGACCCCACGAAGGAGTGAGGGTGCCTCCGCAGAGAGCCCTGGTCCGGCGAAGTGAGCACTGGGCCTGGCGGCTGGACCAAGCGGAGCGGCGGCAGCGGCGGCAGCGGTAGCGGCTGTGGGAAGCTGAGGCGGCGGCGGTGACAGCAGCTCCCCCTCCTCCGAGAGCCGGCTCGGGGGCGGGGCAGGGGGCGGAGACGCCGGGAAAGAGGGGGATGAAGCTGGGCGGGCGGAACCCCAGGGTTCCTTGGAGGCAGGGAGTGGGGACGGTCTTAGAGGCAGACGGAGCCGAGGCAAGGCCGCATGTCTTGGGGTTCAGAGGAGGAGGGACAAGGAGGCGATTCCACTGTACACAACCCTGGATGGGAGGAGAGGTTGGGCTTAAGATAGGTAGAATGGCGGACGCCCTGGGAATGGAGAAAGGGACCCTACTGCCTGGGATGGAGGACAGAACTAGATGAGAAAAGTGGAGGGAATAACTGAAGAGACAGGGGTGGTGGTGAGATCTAGCCTGGGGTTAAATCCGGCCTCCTTAATCCCTCTGCTTTTGTGTGAGCCAAACTGGTTAATCCCTGGTCCTTTCCACATTTTGTCAGCAATTACCTTCCCATCCCTGTTGACTCTTAAGAGAAAAAAAACCGTAAGTGGGGGAAGAAGCTTGCTGGAGGTTGCACTGGAGCAGGAGGGA